GAAATTAATTTTCGTCACGAAATTATTTACTGGCGAAGACGATATTTGAGATCAGTTAGACACTATCGAAGGGAAAACAAGATTATCTATTATCTGAACGAAACTTGCAAAAATAAGAATATACGGTTGGTAAAACATGGCAGGTTGAAAATTATTTTATATTTTCATATTATTCTTACTTCTATAGAAGTTTTTATTTATTTGATCTTGGAATAATTAATATATCAATTATCTGCCTGTTTCTACAATTCCAATCATGAATAATTATAATTATGACCGATAATCATGCAAATTTACAGTTCATTACTCGCTCGCATTAAGAAATTGTTTTTGCCTCTGCAAACGAAATTTTAGAAAATTTTCGAGTAATACAATATATTATCATTTCCAATTTCCCCTTTACATCTGTAACTGTTTTTTTTTTTACTATTACCCTCGTTTGAATCCATTAATTTAAAATTTTGTTTTTAATGACGATTGCAATGAATTTATTGATTTAAAAACCATGACCTGTTGTAACGTATTGTATTTAATATCTAAAGCGTGTATCGGTCAGCTCAAAACAGTTTTGTCGAATTCGATATATCGGAAGCTTTAAAATTTTTATCAATCCCATTATTCGTTCGGTTCTCGTTTGTTATCTGACCCTGGCGCTTCTAACGTTTTACGATTTTTCGATCCCTGACGGCGAAGTTTATATTGTTTTCTGAGGCTTCTATTGCTTTTGCGAATGAAACTTGAACGCTGAAGGTCTATAACGATCCAGGCTTGGATGCTCATTCCAAATGAGAAACGTCTGATTATTTATTTGCGCATTATTCGACGATTTTTCTTAGTACAACACTTTACTAAATAAACCGCACCAGTTCGGTTAAATATTCGACCTACGGAGTAAATAAACCCAGCTAATTGACGAACGAATTTTCTTATCTAATTTTTGTGATTTTTCAAAATAGACGGTGTTTGTTATTTTTTACTATTATTAAACTATATTATTCACAGTGCTACAAAACACTCTAAACAGTGCTTTTTTCTCTTATCTCGGGACATTCTAAATCTATGACGCAAAAGAAAAAGGAAAGATGCGAGTGTTAAATAAAACTATCAGTAACAAAAGCATGGTATGGGCATTAATTGCACAGATTTCTTTTATTTTAGACATTTTTAAAATTAATCAATTTGTATACGAAGATGCATTTTCATATTTTAGGAAAATTTATTAAACTCAGAAGCCCGGAAAAGCTGGATTACAGAGAGCATTATTAGTTCTAACATCGGCTTTATATTGTTTATATTATTATATTTATATATATTTATATTATATATATTTATATTATTTTATTTAAATTATTATAAATAATTTATATTATTTATATATATTATTTTTCAATTTTAGGGCTAATTCTTTCTTTTTTCGAATTTTGACTTAACGTGGACTATGCGCGTTCTATGCTTAACACATAATGATAACTGACCCTTCTTTATAACCCTGATTTGAGCTAGAGGCACTTCAGCTGAAAAATTAGAGAAGGTGACATCTAAAATAGGTTCAATTCACAGAGCTAGAATATTCGCTTCCTTTGAACCTACTCTTAATCTGAATTATGTTCATCTGAACTACTAATGTCACAATCCGTAAAGATTACTTTCCACTTGTTTTCATAAAGCATTGTTACTTCAGTTCGCTTTTTTATCAAACTTATCAAAATAAGAGCCTAAGTCGATCATAATATTCCATTTGTAACTCAACGTAAATCAAATTACATACGCAAATTTATTGAAGAAATAAATCTCACAACCCAACAGTAGAAAGTTCCCTATTATGAGATTTACACTGGCCAAATAGTGATTACGAGAAATGTACAACAGATATATAAATATAAAAGTGCATACTTTCAAGTAACAAAGTATTAACCTACAACTTCCTTGGATTTTTGAAAAAAATTGAAAATTAAAGTAGATGATTAAAATGTCTAAGTGAAAGCATTTCAGAGTTTCAGAGTAGCAGTAATTTTTGTGAGGTTAAAAAGTGCACATTGGCCGTATAAATTGACTTGTCACCCTTTCAAATTTTAATAAAAAAACTAATATTACCCGTTCATTGTCCAAACAAGTGACAAAATGCTTTAATAAAAAGCGCGATGATGGCAAATTCAAATTTTTATAGTCAAATCGTCCGTGCTCCCGAAATACAGCAAATTCTATAGAAAATGTGGCCGATAAATTTTATATATCGGACGCAACAACGTGAACAATTTTAAAATATTTGTACCCTTTTATTTACATCACCTATATTAAAATTTCCTCTGAAATTTATCGCCAAAATAATTTCCGATGTAATTGTCGCGACATTCGAACTTTTGTCCATGTAATACTTGAAATTCAATCAAACAACATTTAATACAATAACTTTTTGTTGGCGAAATTCGCCGAAATATATTATGCCATACGGGAGCGTATTCTCTATTTTACCAATTTGGCACAACTCAAGTGGATAACCATATGTCAGTTTGCAATGAATTCTTGTTTTCGGCGCGGTTGCGCAATTTTTTCAGCTTCAGACTAAACACATTCAAGAGGTTCGTCCGACTCCGTTTTAGATCTGATGGTTTTTATGTTCCAGTTTTTTTAAAAAATATTTTACGCTTTCGCGTTGCAACAAAAATGGATTCCGTTTTACTAAATAAATAAAATTATCTTAAAGAATACACCATGCCAAAGCCTATGTAATATGTATATGTATTATTAATGCATTCAAGTTTTTTTCAGAAAAAATGTAAACCGACGGCTTCTGCCCAAAGACACAAAGTAAAATATAAAGGTAAGCAGAACAAAAACCGAGTAAAAGAATGAAAAGAACAATAATAACTGTCAGTTATTATAGTTCAGGAATGGTATTGGTATTTCTCAGTAAGTTGATGTTTTTCAGCGATATAGACTTAAGAAAGTTTGGTTGCGCAAGCCACACGAGTTTGGCAAAACTAGCGCGAAAAATATAACGGCAATATTAAATCAGCGTCATACCATCCTTCTCTCCAGAAGCATCGATTCATAATATACGAATGCTACGGAATGTTTTTGATTTATATGCGTTTTGCAGAACAATAGAGCAAGTACGAGAACTATGCATTCGCATGGGGCAGGCTTTTAGAGGCTTTTGTCTAAATAATATGCGCATATTCCTATTAGTTCCATTTGATTTAGGACACATTACCAGATACATTAGGGGAAATGTTCGTATACGGTGCTCTATTCCGAAAATTCTGTGTTTCTTGGGGTTGGTACGCTTTTTTACTTTCACAATACGTTTGTTTCTAAAATATGTTTTACCACTTTGGCGTGATTTTAAAACATTTTCACTTCACATGCATATATATACGGTGTTCTTAAATACCAGATCAGTTAATTGTATAGTTCTAATTATTTACTTATTTATTTATTTCATTTATTACTATGATTTCATTGATGTGCGGTCAAACAGATGAATCTCGATGAAAATGCAAAATACAGAAATAGTTTGAGAAACCAAAAATAAATCACTGTGGCGTTTTTTTTTCTTTTCTTGTTCTTCTATGTACCTAGTTGGGACTAAATTAACGTCTTATCACAACAACCAAATTTATAAAGTCTCGCCAAAAAATTGATTTGATTTAAACATTTATCATAACTATTTATATGAACTATAAGCCAATGAATTCAATCGATCCGTTCAATAATAATTAGGTTTAGTGACCTGATAAAATTACGGTATTATTGACGGTACATTTACTTTCATCTTAAGAGTAAAAAAAAATAAATAATCATCAAATATTTTGGATAAATATACAAAACGGAACAGACATAATCTGGTTAATAATTGAAATAAGCATGCCACACACAATAGTCATACAAATTTATTACGGTAATCTGCAGAAATTTCAATTATTATTATTAATTTATTATTTAACTTTGTCATAATGTATTTATAATTTTACAGTACCATGCAAAATGCGTTTTGACAAGCTTAATCATAAGTTTGCTTTTTGAACATGCGAAGCCCATATTTGCCGCCTGTATCGCATTAATCAAATTGAAGTTGATCATCAGCTAAATGAGTAACGAGTTTCATATGTGTCCCAGTTAATATCCCTTTTTGCCCTCTCTTTTAGCACTACATTCGTTGTATCAATACAGAAAAGTGTCTGGTTGTTAAAAGAACAAATTCAATTAATATCGGAGTTAAAAATAACCCTGGTGAATTCTATTAGAAGCGCCACTGTAGATATTAATCTTGAAACGACGTTAATCTTAATAGCACCAGCATGGAAAACTTTTGCGACAATTAATTTTTTTCTTTTTTTCTTTTCTTTTAACAAGAAACTCATACCCAACAATGTAGAGAAAAAAGAAAATGCTCAAAGCAATTCTGATATGTACCCGATATACACCTGATCTTTTAAATTATGCCCCGATTTATTTTGTTTTGCATTCGAGTTTGAAACCTCTATCTTCTAAAACGAATTCTTTGAACACACAATTTATTCCATTTGCCGAAGACTCGAGACCAAATGCTTAGAAAATGCATGGCATCGAAAATTTCCATTTTTACGCCAACGAAATAACCATCAAATTTTCAATAAACAAAATTTCATGCTTAAGACGGTATAGAATTCTAAAGCATAATTTTTTGAAAAATACACTTTATACAAAACAATCTAAATTACTTCAAAAAATTGTATCTGGCTACGTACAGCAGTTAAAAATCACTCTATAATAACGTGGGAGCTTAGTGTCGACAAATAGTCACATAAATAAACAGCAAAGGAAATCTACGTGTGATCGGGGTTTAGCAAATCAACTAAGATACCAAGTTGCACACAAAAAATGCAGAATTAGTCGAATTATTTCGACATTCGACGTGTAACAATGCGTTTTTTGTGAGCATGCCAAAAATATACAAATAAAACACAACACTACTAAAAACAAAAATTAAAAAACAAATAAATATGTTGTAGGCCTACCATTTGGTAGAGAGAGGCAGATGTGCAAGAGAACTACCAACGTCAGAGCTCTCGGTCCGCAATAGAAGTAACAATGCTGCATATTCTTGTAGTTTTAAGTAGCGGGAGAAATCTTGAGCCAGTGCTGATAATTGCTTTTAATCTAACCGTATTAGACTTCGTTTTTAGTTGCGAATTTATTTAAATTTTTGATTTAGTTTTTCCCTCGTAATTTTTTACATTTTCGTTTTATTTATCACGTTACTTTTAGTTTGTTCGAAAGTTATTTTATTTAAAATATATACCAGTGTATGATTGGCGGCCATACACGCGTATATACCGAGTTTAAGTGCCGACAGATGTTTAAGGTTATATCATGTTTACTATGAGTGCACACAGATGTGAACTAAAGCCAAAGCCATAGCGATAGCGAGTCCGGACAGCTCCAACAGCGGATCCGACGAAAACTGCGTTACCATTTCCACCACCCTATTCATTGCTCAAGCACTAGGCTGGCGAGCAGGATACTCTGTTACACATGGCTCTCATTGGAGTATTTGCAACCGACGTACCCTACATCTTTTCCATCTCATCCGGACCACATACGGGGGGATCTTTCATGGTATGGTAAATATGTTGAACTGGAAAAAATTCCAAAACATTCTTACGGTTCCTGTATGATTAAAAAAAGTACTAGGAGACAACCTCGGATGGCAGATGAAATATTAGAACTAATAGAAGAAGAAAAAGAAGAGCAAAGAAATGAATAAAATCATTTATGACAGGATCAAAAAAGCGAAAGAGCTCTCTTCCCCATTCATATGACACTGCCTCACTCACTGTTCCATCGCTTTCGAAAAAGCTTTGACAGAGTGCAACCTCACAAACTGCTCATAATTTCTTACACCTATCCTATCACAAACAATACCGTAATCCAACGTATTTAAATTTTAAGAAGTAAGAAAAATATCATACTTGTGATATGTAACGTGCAATGAAAAATAACAGCATCTTGCAAAGCTGACAATGGAGACAGCAAGAGAATAATTATATGAAAAGCATCGAAGTTATATATCTGAAATACCATATCAATGAGTAATTGAAGAGTTGCATTTTTAAATGCAGATGAAAGCAGCCAGTTTTAACGGTCTTTTTAAATTCATTCATCATCAAATTAACAATATCAATTTTAATTTTAATCCCTATTTCACACATAAAAATAACGTCTTTTATTTAAACAACTAACAAAAATGGACTAGGTGTTTTGGAATCCAATGCCGCTAATTTCTCTGTTTTTGGATTGTAAGTCTGTTGATGATTGCATAATTGAAATATATAAATAACCATAAAAAGGTGATTTCAAGTTATTTACATAGTTAAAGAAGCCAGTGCGAGAAAGCAGCGCGGAAGAATTACTTTTTCTTTACCTGTTAAACATACATATTATGAAAATTTTACTAATATTCCATTGCCTGAATGACTCATTTCTACGAGTACACAGACACATATCACATCGATCCGCACAAACAATTGACCAATATAATTTTCGTACAGTTATTTTATTTTTTTATTATTATGCACAATACTCGTGCAAATAACTACATTATAGATTTTCGGCGTGTTTCTTATCAATATGTATTATACAATTCATTAACGAAAATATTTTTTTAGTAACTGAAAGCTGCGTCAATTTTGAGTTTCTAGTCTTTTATGGATATTACTGCGTATTTGTAAACGAAGTTATTGGCCATAACTTAATTTAATTATTATCATATATTATATTATATTATTATGATATATCCAGTTGAATTTAAGACCCGGCTGCAATGCTGTTTTTGCTACTATTTTGTTTAGGTTTATTTACGGCAAATCATAAATATATGATTAAATGTAAATGCCAGGACATTTTTAGTTTTAGTTAGTTTAATGGGAATAGCGGATTGTTTTTATTTTCAAAGTCTGGCTAAAACGTAAACCTCTTAAATAATTAAAATAACCAATCAAGCCGCAGACAATCGGCATGTCAGGCGAACTGAATAATTCGACTGCATACACCACCAATTCGCTATATATTTGAGCAGATTAAATTAAGATAGCAATAATTTCGCACTTGAATTCGTTTCCAAAAAATGCCGATAGCAAGTATTTTATAGTTATTCAGTCGGGATTATAATCAACGTCTATTGCATTTCGTTCATTTGTAATATTTATTTTAACCAATAAACGAATAGTAAATGAAATCGTTCGGGGGAACTTTTGACTACAACCCCGTAACGCCGAAACCGTTAAGGGAAGTATGTCGGAACTTGATTTCCACCATGCTTCGACAAATCAATGAAGGTCGGCGCGCAGACGCAGTACGTTGTCGCATCATGATCCCCCTAAAGAAATAAGATGACTATCTTTTTATTTAGACTGTGTTTTACCTAAGGGAAGAACAGATGCTTGCGACCAAAACCAATAATAATCATTTAAACAAATAATACGGTTCGTGAAAAATAACCAGAAATCCTAATATCGACGGCAAACTACTTTCATAGTATTTCAGTTCGAAGCTATATAGAATGTAGTCCGCTTATGCTAGCGATGTGCAATAACGCGGCATGACTGGAGGCATTAACCTTTTTCGTCATTTCGCTAGGTTTAACGTTTCTTGTAATAAAATCGAATTTTACTGCTTATTAATTCCGTTTCTGTTTGACTTGGAGATTTACTAAATCCCCAATACATTGCCCCGAAATGATTTTGCATATCGTCGCAAATGTACTGCTCGTTGGTGCGAAGAAAAGGAATTAATTTGAATTTCGTAGATCACGATCGTATTTTTTATAATCGAAATTTCATAAGAGTACAAAACGACATTTTACTAATTAAATCATTGTGATATCTTGAGAAGTCGCAAACAATGCGGGTTAAACATCCGAGAACGAGAGGTAAATTTAATTCGATTTTTATTTCAGTGCGTTTTATCCAATTTAACCCTCAGGGATTATGTGCCGATACTAAGAAAGCATTCGAAGGCGTTAAAGTGCAATCCAAAACGGATGATAACGGTAATAACCACGGTAATAAGGCCATATGCATTCGGATTTTGTATTCTGTTTTGCCCGGATTTACAATATTCCGCTTATTTAGTTTCAGAACGCAACATTTAAATTAGATAAAACTCTTTAATAAAATGAATTTTTAGCACGACCAAGAAATAACCCAGAATTATTACCATATAGCCTTAGTTTTAGCAAAACTTAAATAAAGCAAGATCTGTATAGTAGGTATCGTACGACCAAAAATTATTGTTTTCACGTTTTAAGTATATATGCTCGTATGTATTACGTGTATTTGAATGTGATCCGTCCAGTAAGTACGTATTTATGTACCTGATTCTCGAGCTTTAACCATCCGAAGCTTTTTTCACTCGCTAGTTCAAAGGGAAAGGATAAGTACCTGTACTGTATTTATTTTACACGTAAGTTTAAAAATAATCATTTTTGTCTTGTGTGCCCATCGATTAACAACATTCTTCTTCTTGTATTTTTGTGTCCTCTACATAGTTCTTCGATTTGTAAACAACGGTAGTCTTTTTTAGGACTATGAATTATATTCACGGTAGATAAAGGTACGTCATAAGAATACAGATAAATATTTATTAGAATCTTACAATTAAACATTTTTTGAACGTTCCTGTTTTTGAACACTTTAAAGTGGAGATGGTAGTCGAACCTAATGACAATTTAGAAGACGAACTACCTCAGCATATAAAAAAGCGCATCCATTTGTCTTTTAATGCGAAACAAATGTAATAAACAGTAGGAAAAGTTAATCACGGGGTCGGTTGTAAAAGCGCTATATTCCTGGTCGAAGTATACCCGAATCTTTAAGCGACTTTCATTGCAAAATCCTCTCTTTTTATCGAGTGCAGGTGACACGAAGGTCTGGGTCAATTTGTGAGTTATGCCAATTGTTAAAACTTACCAAAGTCAGAAGAAAAGGTAGGCAAGAAGTACCCTTATTTTTTATACTTATTAAATATAAAATTAAATGCACACTACAGAGAATGGATTCAAGAGGGTGGTAGTTACGCCTGGCCTCCAAGGAGCCCCGACTCAACTCCCCTAGATTTTTTTCTATGGAATACACTTTAAGATTCAGTTTACAAACACAAACCGTCAACTGACGAGGAACTTAAACGTCGGATAAGAGAAGGTATCGGATATTTGAATGGGGCTGAAGCTTTTAGAAATGCGATTATGTGTCTAGAAACTATTAATTTTTAATTGATCGTTCGTTAATAAAATATTCACCAACGTTATCGCGTATCTTTGGTCTTATTCTGTATAAATAATGCATATTTACATATTTACATAATCTTTGGATCTTCATAAGCGCATGGGCGAGATTATGGCCAACGATGAAATGGTAAATCATAGAGGCAGCACTTTAGGCCCTTGTTTTGTTGAAACGCTGTCATGGCTACGTAACACTAACTGGACTTATATGGCAAGAGCATATTATTTGTGATAGACAAATGTTTAGAAGGAAATATTTAAAAAACTAAAAATATTAGGCATGTACCATCTTATATAAAACTGCCTTAATTTTTAATCCTAAATATGACAAGATTATGAAAATAGGTAGTTTCCGGTAAAAAGAGTTTTTTGGCAGTTTTTTTAAATTCATTTTAATCTTATTTTATTAATATGTATCGAAATTACTTTTGAAATCCGAGTCCTTCGTCTACAACAAAACTTACTGGATTGAAAAAATAAATGCTTTCGATTGAAGAACTTCGTAGTGTTCCATTTAAAAAAATTAAGTTGATATTCTCCCTAGAAAAATTAAACACCCTGTATATGCAAAATTAAAGGTTTGCAAGACCTCAATTAACTTTGGTTTCTGAGATAAGGTAGTGTCTCAAGATGAACGGCCCACCCTATACCTGATTCTCGAGCTATGACCCCGCCAGGCTGTTTTCACTGGATAGTTCAAAAGGTAAGAGTAAGTACCTGTACTCTATTTATTTTACAGTTAAGTTTGAAAATAATTTTTTATTTTCTTGTATTTTTGTGTCTTCTACATAGTTCTTCTATTTGTAAACAACAAGAGTATTTTTTAAGGCTATAGATAAGATGTAGATAATAAAGTCAGAAGCGGAAGTAGAAGCAGCAATAAAAGCAAGTGACATACAACGTAATAAATTGTTACTTTGTACTATCTTTTTATGTACGTGTTTCAAGAATTGCTCGGCGAATAAAAAATGAAAACATACTTATATCCGGCTTGTTAGTGTAGGTAGATAAATTCATAGGACGGTCCTGGAATGGTTATGGGGAAGGGACTTGGAGCAATAAACAGTAGGCAAAGTTAATGACGGGGTCGGTTGTAAAAGCACTATAATTCTGGTTTCAGTATAGTTATTTATATTTTGATATTAGAAGTATTTTTTCAATGTGAACTAAAATTTTAGAGCCGCCACAGTTTGAAAAATGCAAAAATCTAAATATATATAAATATGCTAAAACTGTTGGCCAAAACTCCAAAAGAATCTCCGAATTTTCTTTTAGTTTAATGTGAAACACTTCGCGCTATAGCGAACGGCTGCTGAAATATTCAGAAAAAGCTAACTGAAATATTTTCTAGTACGGTCGTGACGAGTCAAGTGAACGGCAGCAGCATCTAAATAAACATTTTGAGAAAATAGTCGCAAAACCGAAAATAGTTTTTTTTTAAACTTTAGGTACTTAGGTTTCCCAGTCTACAACAATAACATATATAAGTTTTATGTTTTGTATGTTTTTTTTTGTTGGATGTTATAGTGTGTCGAATTTGAAGTTGCAATAAGTTTTGAATGAAAATTGATGAAACTTTTTTGTATTTGAGTAATTATTTTGTTCAATTTTAATTTATTTTTAAGTAAATATTACTAGAATATCATTAACGCAACTTTCACAACTTTGACATCTGTCTTGAAATTTGAAACAATAATTTCTGTTCAGCCACATGTCAAAATAATGTTATTGTCTTTCAGAAGCTCAGACAAAATAAATAATATTTCGAAAACCGTTTTAGATGGGTATAGGGAAGCTTAAAGCAAAAATGATCAGAAGGAAACAGTGAACCCAAAAATGTTATAAAGTATGCTATTTCAGATCGCGATTTTCTCATATTTTATTGTTGTAAGCAGCAATGTTGCATTGTCCAAAATGTTTTAGACTGATAAAAAAAAGACTGGGGAACCTAAAAACACAAATTTTAAAAAAATAAATTTCCATAGACAATCAATCACCTGGTATTAAATTTGTGGTCTATATCGAATGCTTAACATTTTAACGAATTAGTCACGCGAATAGATCACTTCTATTTATATGCTTTTCATTTCACACGCCAAATTATTACATTTTTATTTCGCACACACTCCAATTAATAAATGGAGGAGTATTTTTAATTTCGCAAGAGTAACTGAATGAATATCATTAAATGGTTTTTAATGAATTATTTAAAATTAAGAAACATTTCTACTGTAAGCACATTACTATCAAGGGGTAATAATTTAAAGCTTAATTAAGAAGCTCTTTTGTGGGATTTACTAGCTCGCTTTAAATAAATATTGTTTTTACGATTAGAACTAATATTAACAACGGTATGCATACAGGGTGTAAATATGCATTTTTCTTTGTTCGAAAACAAGTGTTTTGGTGGTTAACAAAACAAGAATTCGTTGGACAATTTTAAAATCTATGGGTTGAATGTAGAATCTCTTCAAAATGTTAATCACAAATTATTTACGTCCTTTGGAAGCATTACATCAGGACGAAAATTGTTTCACAAAAGAACAAAAATAGATAAAATTGATTTTAATATTTTTGCTATATATTATTTTGCTTTGTTTGACATCATTCTGTTGGAATTAGTCCACGCCTAATAATATGCGCATCGTAATTTTTCGGGGTATTTTATTTGAGTATTTCCGAACGCACCTATCGTTAATAAAGTATCAATCTAAACCACTAGATACAGTACGTGTCTATTATTCTCCCATAACTTATATTTCACTCGGAAGTGATTTTCATGAAACTAAGCAAGGAGTATCATTTATTTCTCACACTAAGATCAACAGTTGTTGGTCCAACTGTTGTAATTTTCAAATGAAAATGGATCTCCGCTTTTTTTTTCACTTCACATTAAATATCATCAGTTTGTGTTTTTTTCCTCTATATATATACTTTTTTTATTTATATTTTTTGATTCGCGGATGGAAAAATGTGATGACAATATATTCCGCGATATCATCCGTTCATTTGTTGAACTCCGACTGGAATTGGCATCTTCGATGCTCGCGCTCCGAAAACACTTCAGGTGTTCTTTGTTAACTGTTAGTGCGTGACCAAAAGAAAAAAAATCCTTGACGGAATTAATATTAATTATTATCACTTGTGTTTTTTCCCAACTCACTTCTAGAAACGAGAATGCCGCATACAACTGACCAGTAGGTATGGTCTATTTGACATAACTCTGCAATTCCTAAACGCAGCTCTTCAAAAGATGGACCAACGCGGACGTAACTAACCAATAAATATGGTTTATTTGTGTCAGTTTAACTTTTTAACTCTCATTCCATAAATATAATTGAAATTTGTGGTCATAAGTGCATATGTTAATAATAATGTGATTTTTAACTGAACTCATCATTGAATCTACTCTTCACACATTCCCATAATTAATGTAATATCTGAAGAATTCAGTAAAACGACTGAAGCATAAATTTTTACAAATCCAATTTAATTTAGGGCCTGCAGAAAAAATTGCCGCATTATACAGTGCAAGGTGAGATTATTTGACTGATATATAATTGTTACATATTTAGAATTACTGCATTTTCAGTGACAAGACTCTGGGATTTTCCCAAAAAGTTCCATTTCTAAGGAATCAGTATTAAATCAAGATGAATATTTTAGCATTGGTGACACATTGAAAGACAAACAGTTTAGTAAATTTAATCAACCAAGGGGTCCATCGGGTTCAGTGTCGTCTTATTCTAAGGAGGTGGGTAAGGCGCTAAAATCTAATAAACAAAACTGATTTGGTTATCCATGCATCAGAGTATGGGAGAATTTAGTGATAGGCAGATACAAATGCCAGATCTACAAGATAAATCGAGTTTTGAAATAGAAATAAGGCAAAAGAGTGAGTTAAAAAATTCAATACAACCACAAAAGAGTGACCACATGTTAAAGCAAGAAATTAATCATTGCCAGTAAGTATTAGGATAGAGATATCTCGCAAACTACTGTGAATTTTTTTTTAAGACAACTTCTATTGGAACATGAAAAAACAATAGCTAGTCAGTGTACAGAATTGGAAAAGTTGAAGCAAGAACATGAAACCACAAGTCGACATTTTGCGACTCTAGAATTAGCTTTTTCTGATGTTTTGCAGTAAGATGAACAAATTTGGGACCTGAGTGAACATATTATATTGAGGTTCTCATTACAGAAAGTATGACAGAAGTAAAATCATAGTTGATGGCTTTAAAACAAATGAAGAGGCCTTAACTCAGAATCTCCAAATAGCAGAAGAGAAACTTAAGCAAAATGAGGCTAAATATGAGTCATTAAAAACTTATGCCAAAGCCCAAATTGAAAAGTAAATGAATTTATTTTACTTTACAAATATTACAAGATTTGTTTTAGATGTAATGTAGAAATAATGAATGTTAGAGAAAAGTATGAGTTTGAAAGCAGCAAGCTAAGAGCACTCATTAAGAGGTTGGAAATTAAATGTTCCTCATTAGAGACTTCATTAAATCAAAAAACAGAAGAATGTCAACAGCTGTCTGAACTATGTGATGACATTACTGGTAAGCAGGTATAAAAACTGTCCATGTTTTCCCAAATATTAATATGGTGTGTGATTTTTTTAAGTTTTCGGAAACATGTTTATATTTTTTTATCGGTATTAATTTATTTTTTTATAACATTTTTCAATATACAACATACAATATTAGAATTTAGATTATTACCTTGTTTGATTTTTGAACATGGTTTTATCATTTGTTTATTTATTCTGAACATCTAATGTCGAATACTGCGCAATCTTACATACCTAATAATTGTTAACTATTTATTTTTAGTGTAATATTCTAGTTGTATATTCATCTGTATATTAGTGCATTTAGTCAATTTGAAAGCTTATATAAATGTTTTTTTTATTTTGTATTAGTTGATCATGATTTTTAACAATTTGCGATATTACTAAAAAAAAAATTATTACTGACAAAAAGCAACAACTGAAGGTTGATTTCTGATATATACTCATTACTATAAAAAAATGATAATATTAAAAATGTATACAGTATCTAAATTGTTCTTGTCTATTATAGTGATCAAATATCATGACAATGAGACCTCTTAAAATATTTATTTCGTGTAATAATAGCATTTCCTGATGCATTTGAGTCCAATGTTACAATGACTGTAGGGTCTCCCTTTTCTTGTGATATATAATTGTACAGTACTGTAATTGTTTCAATAAAAAGGCAATCTAGTTTCAATAAAGCTTTCTTATTTTATTATTATTATTTTAAGTAGCCCGTGAGTAGTTCAAATTTACCAAAGACGAAGGAAACACTATGCGACAGTGTTTTTATTTATTTCAAACGGGAAGAATACAAATTACAAATGGCAGTGGTTTTTATTTATCTATTTCTAAATACCAAACCTATTGTTGGGGAATTGGTAAGGCACATTTTAACATAGTACGTTAATTATATGGAAGCTAGACAGTATAAAAAATGTTTACACCTAATTAATACTTTTCTTACAACACCACACATATTTTTAGCAATGGAATGGTCGATAAAAATGCGCAGCATTTCTTTTTTTTTTTAATTGAAGGAGATAGGTGTAATAACAATTTATGCCCCAGACTGTTGGCTTGATAATTAAATGCGACACGTCTGACTATCTTATTTATTTTTTTTTAAATGATCGTTAGAAAAAGAACTTTGCGTTACAAACATTTGCCTATGAATAAATATGCATATAAAAAAAATTAACTAAGTTTCTCAAATTGAGATCAAACCTATGCAAACAGAAGTAAAAAACCATTATTCTCTATGGCTGCCAATAAATCACAAATATTTATATAAAAGAAAAAATTACGTTAAATATATAGATATATAAATTACAAAAAGGTATCATCATACTATCATAAACTAATTTACATACACATACTAGTTGTCAATTTTTACAGTGTTATTGGTACATGTTTGAGCTCAAGGTAATAAAAATAGATTACTTATTGGTTTACACTCGCTCTATTATTTGCACCTAGTGTAAACAACCAGACTCAACCCATTCATAACACATTTTTAAAGAAGTTAACTATCGCAACTTGCAGAATTCAATGCTTTCGTTTATTAGTTATTAAATGTCATCACAGTCGCTTAACTATATTTTTTCATTTGTAAAATTACCTCACTCGAATAAAAAAAATTGTTTTTCGAAATAAGGCAATTTAAATTGACGCGCTTTTATTTTGTTAGGCTTTGAGACTTTCAACAACAGGCACCTTAATAAATGGCATTAGAAAAATATTCTCTCTTTGAAACTCACTAAATCTCGTTTGTTTTGGGCCAGTATAATGTAAACGACATACATTTAACATACTTATCAACACTATTGTTTAGCACCAAATCAGAATTCCCGTTTCATTTCTTCTATTCCACTTATAATACATCAGTTATATAACTTTATCGCGGTTACATTTGAAACCCTAATCCCATTTCAAACTGTAACATCAAAATGGAATGCAAATATGTCACTATTACGTGAAACGTCACTCGAAGTAGTCAGTCTATATCCGTTTAAATAAAAAAAAGAAACTATATATACATAAAATAATTGTTCAGTTCCATCCAAACATCTTCTTTGGTCAGACACAGTAGATTAAGTACAAATCGTCCAAGACATCTAAATTTAGAACCAAGCCTCATCCCCACCATTCTGTGTGTCATCGTCGCTACCGTCGTAATCGTACATGTCAGCCAATTTGCTAAACCTCTTTCCGAAACTGGATAGATAATTAAAATCTAAATCACCATCATCGGTACAAGAGCCAAGCGATGATAGAGAACCTGTGCTGTTCCCGTCGCCCTCGTAAGCGTAATGCCTTACATCATCATAAGGCAAATTATCCGGGTCTTTATCACACGAATCTTTTTTAGTATCCAAAAAACCGCTTATGTCACTTATGTCGGCCGGCACATCGCCTAAGCCTTTCATTATCGGTTTCTCTTCCAGATTTTTATGGAATACCGAAAGATCGTAGTTGGTATCGCACTCGCCACCACCTTCGTCTTCGTAGTTGATTATGTTCTCCGTCGTATCATCTATATCTTTCTCATTCAGGTTATCTTGTTGACGTCTATGGACCACCACGGCTAGTAAAAGGACTAAACAAAAATACAATTATGGGTTGTTCAAAAATATTTTGCAATACTCACAGAACAAAACAGCGAGGCACACTAAAATGGCTACCAAAAAATTGGAATCGATTCCAAACGTCACAGCCTGTTGCGTAGCGTAATTGCAACCGACGAATGAATGATATTCGTCGGACGGATCTCCCAAATTATACAGAAAATCGTTAAACGAAAAGTTTTTAATACAACCAGCAAAACCTTCGCTAGTCGGAGCGGATTGGCTCCAAATTATTTTCGCCTCTTCGTCGGTAAAAACTTTGCTCATTCCTCCTACTTGTAATGGACCGTAAATATTAAGCAAGCCCTTTTGCTTAAAAGGTTGCAATGCGGTACAATGGCTTTTGCAATCGTCGATCTCCATTTCAATATCCTTAAAATGTTTGCAATGTTTATCGTTCAATTTTTTCGGTTTCCTTCAAACTTACCGTGTCAATATCGAGAGATATTCTGATTTTATGTTGAGCCCCGTCGTTTAGTTTTTTTGGGATCGACACTTCTTCGGTCCCGTACCCGTTATCAACCTTGAGCAATGCTATTCCATCTTTCAATTCTAATGATATGAAATCTACAAAGAAATCGACCATTCGTGCATATATAATAATAATAAATAAATCAATCAAAATCTAAAGTATATTGAAAAAGTGTATGTATAATTCGCATACAAGCCAAAAAAAAACTAGATTTTTTTTTTGTTTCGACCCTACATTTTATGACATTATTGTGACGAAATATCTATTTTTTCTAGTATTGCAAAAAATAATTGACATTCGGGTTTTTTCTGGTAATTCCTCTTTTATTTTTCGAAGAGACAGTAACTTTCTATTACATTTAGTACCCGAAAAACCATCTGCCCTTGCACAAACTTTTACTTGCCGCCTTTCCCAAAATTCCCAATTGCTTTATTAGGTTTACCCGAAAATGTTTACAATTGATAATAAAAATAAACTTTAATTGATGTATTTCGAATGTTATTGTTTTGGTCACATCTTGTTCTTACTTTGTGGGTTTGTAATTTGGTTAATTTTACTTAATTTGTTTGCTAATGAATATTAGGGATTTTCGGGATTGACACATATCGCATTTTTAATTATAACTGAAAGTGTCTTTTCAAAAATAATGTTAAACTCATGGTAGATTATTATTATATGGCATTATATTGTACGAATTAACGGAAAGAAAAAAATTAAAGTCAGAGAGAAGGGAAAAAAAGGAAAATGTATCAGATCTATCTCGAACAAAATGGCTTACCTTTAGAAAGTTGAGCATGTTTAAAAGTCAGCGGACCAGCATAAAAAATTAGTCCATTATCGCTGGTAGGGGAAACGGTCAAGGTGATGACAGTTTTATTGCAAGCGTCCAATGTCGGATATAAAGCCCACCCGTCCCTATTGAAGCCGATTGACAATCTTTCACAGTGAGGCCCTTCAAATTCCGAAGGGCATACGCAAATTCCGTTTTCTCCGAAGTATCCGCCATTAAAACACTCCCTTACTAGCCTGGGGATGCAGTCGCAAACAGTATCTACGATAGCTTTTACTCCCACAAACGATGTACGGTTGGTAAAGACCACCGCCGGTTCATCATGAATATTTAGTTGGTTAGAGCATGAACTGCCCAGAGCGCATCTGGACTCGTTAACGCATTCGTTGATGCTGATCATCACAAATTCTACGCCTAGTTCGCTTTCCAACTAAAAACAAAGTTATGTTAAATACCAATGGATAATCTCGTCCGCCCGTGTCATGCTCACCTTCTCTTGATTATTGGTAATTTTGTTATTAAGCTTTTCGGCGGCGTAATACGGTGACCCGTGAGCGGAAAACCTCACGTCAATAAGCGAATTATTAGACGGTGAAGTTAGCACCGTGAATACGTCGACGTTAGAGATGGACGTATTGACAATTTCCGCAATCCTTTGGTGTAAAACGTCTTTTCTACTTTTTCCATTCTAAAAAAAAAACCATCGATCGATATTTATCCACGGGGATGACTTAGGGTACCTTACCGTCGCAGACTTCGCAACAAATTCCTCGATGGTAGACCCAGCTATCCGAACGGATCCCGATTTGACTACAGCCTCTTCTGGAATCTCTTTGACCGTCACCGTTACATTAGCGTTGACAGCGTGGAATAGAATATTAGGAAGATGTTCTTCCGTGACGTTAAACCGTAAGAAATACTCCCCTTCTCTGGTAACGCTCGACATTATAATCATACCCCTATCTTCGTCACTCAAACGGAAGTTATCGAAGTTATCAAGCTGGATGAAGACTTTGTCGGGCAAGTCCCAATCGTCTAAATCTTCCACAAATACGCGCCCAATAGCGATGTCACTTTCCAGTCCTTGGTACTTGTAAACGAAAATCTCGCTGGACCCGTCAGAAGCGGGATTGTCATTTCTGTCGCCAATTATGACCCTGAGCACGCTTATGCTTGTTAACGGTGGCCTGCCACTATCAGTTATACTTATAGGGATGTCGTAATATTTTTTCTCCTCCCTATCGAACGTAACCAGGGCGTAAAGGGTTTGACCTTCGATTTTAAATCTTTCGACAATGTCGATCGATGCAGTCATCGCGAGTTCGAAAATAAAAGGAGGTCCATTATCGGGACCGTCGTAATCGTCAGCACTTAATTCACCAATACGTCCAGGGTCCTGATTTTCATACCAGACGATCTCTGTTACGTTTAAAAATGGCGCGTTGTCGTTTATGTCTTCTAGTTCGATCATGATTTCGGAATATGCGTTCATCGCGTTCGGACCTCCATCGTTGTCGTAAGCATAGATAAAGGCTTGGCGCGTTGGACTGCCAAAAGGTTTATCCCGGTCCAAAGGTTTTATAAGCAACACGCACCCGTCTGTAGTGACCTTAAGGAAATCCGATTGAGTGTTATCCACATTGTATACAATGTGTTGATTGGCTGTTCGGTCTTTGATATCTGGATCGTACGCTACTACTCGTACAATGCAATCGTCGGGGATAGTTTCTTCTCGAATCTTAACAGTCTTGTTATGTTCTTCAAATACGGGTATTTCATCGTTGACGTTGGCGATCGATATGACTACTTTAGCTGTGTCTTCGAATATACCATCAAAAGCGCGCACTTTGAGGACGTACATTTCGATTTTCTCAAAGTCGAGCTCTTTATTGACTTTAATTCGACCCGTGGTGTTTTCAATGTAAAAAGCATCATCTACGTTTCCTTCTATGATACTGTAAGTGATCAAAGAGGCGGTATCTTTATCGACGGCTTTAACTTCCCCCACGTCTTTACCCCTATCGGTACTTTCCAATATGTCGGTGCAGTTATATACCGAATGGGTAAATTTCGGTTTATTATCGTTCCTATCCTCGATAGTGATTTCGAACGTTTGAACCGCTTCGTTGGGTTCCTTGGTCTTTTTTAAAGCACTCGGGGAATTATCGTAAGCTTTAACTTTGACGTGATATACGTTAATATTCTCCCTATCAAACGGCACCAACGATCTTATCACACCTGATGAAGGATCTATCGAAAATATGTCATCATGCGAAAGAAGCTTATAGCTGACTATGTTATTCGCGGAAGTACCATCTTTATCTATAGCCCTAACTACCATGGCTTGGGCACCGGCTTCATCATTTTCAACCACGCTGCCTTTTATTAATTCTATAAAGCTTGGGATTTCGTCATTGACGTCTTCGATTTTAATCGGAATGTTAATAGAAGTGTCCATCGAATCTTTGTTTTTGACACGCACCGTCAAGGTGTATTCGGTCACCGTCTCGTAATCTAATTGTCGAACCAACGAAATGAAGGCTTTTGTCGTGTCATTTTCGAACGGCGTAAGGACAAAACTCTGGTCCTTGTTGGTTTGCAGAGTCTTGCCCTTTATTAATTCAAATATAACTTCTTGGTCATTGATACTCGACCTACAAATCCGCGGAAGTTGTTTTAGAAACAGATTGCGAAATGAAATTTTAAGGGTTAAGTATATAATATATATAATCCCACTTACTCTGCTTCTATAGTAACCAGCCGCTCCAAATAGTTATTAAAATTTTCCTTAAGAATAATATCCCCTTCCGGATAACGTTTCGTGATCCTGGGGGGTTGTTTTGCGGAACTGACAACTATAATCGAAACGTTGGCTTCGGTTTTATAAGGCACTTGGCCATTGTCACTAACGATCACTGTAGTTTTAAATTTGGTGTCCTTTTTCTGGAACAATGAATAGTTACGTACAAATGAGAAAAGATTAAGGCGAACCAGACTCACGGTCGCAAGCGATTGGAGCAAGTATACCACACCCGTGTTAGGATCGATTCTAAAATAATCATTAAAATCGCCTTTCTCGGTTCTTGATGAATACGTAAGTTTTGAATTTTGACCATCATCTAAATCGTACGCAAATATCCTCATCACTTCGCTATTTGGCTTCAAGTCCTCGGCCACTTGAGTAATGTACTCCTAAAATTCGTAGTAAAAAATAATATCGCCCAAGGATGAGTATAACTGAAAACTTGCCTGCGAATCTAGTTGAGGGGCATTATCGTTAATATCCAGTACGGTAACTTTAAATGAGCAAATATCAGATAAGGCTGGCCTGCCATTGTCTGTGGCTTGTACTGTCAAGTAAAGTTCCTTTTGTCTAAAGGGTTCGTCTCTGTCAAATGGCATGTTGGTACGCACTTCTCCTGTAGTGTTGTCAATCGTGAAATAGTCCCTACCACCATCCCGTTTGACTATTTTGTATAGTACCGTACCACCCGCATTTGGAGGATCGCCATCTTCAGCTTTGACCTAAAAAGCAATGGGTAAACTAACGAACTAACAATTTCAATTAATTTGTACAAATTTAAAAAAAAAAGTTTACCGTCAAGTTGTTAAAAAATAAAAAGGCAATATTTAAATCAGAAAAATTGATGAGAAACTAATACCTAATATTTGTCGGATAAATTGAAGGCATTATCGGTCGATGATAGGTTACAAAAGTACCAATAATAGTGTCTTATTAAACGAAAAGATTTAAAGTAGGATTCAAACTACCGAACAAATTTGCGGGAAATTGTGTGGGACAAATGAAACAATAAATTATCTAGTTGAATGCGTATATCCCCGTGTAAAGCATAACTAAAATCCTGTTGCAAAATCGTAAGAGCTTTTTAAAATCGGACTCTTAAGAATGCGATAAGCTCGAATACAAGAGACACGGCCAAGCGAAACCGTTACTTATATGTATTTAGTTTTTGATAAGGCGTCTCCTAATATATCTTAGACTTGCCAGCCTAATGCACGACAGAGTCGTACCCAGTTGTATTTCTAACAGTGATGGAAATAGCAATACGCGACATCGTGTTCAGTAAATCCAAATTATGACGAAAGCCAACCTACATTTATCGTCTAAAGCAATAACGATTCAATTTGTGGGCAGCATTTGTAGAAACCATTAGATTAAAATTCGAGAAGTCCGTATCTGTAGTACTTAACGACTAATTCCGCGTATTCAAGTTGGTCATCAATGCATAGCTTATTTGATTGCTTATTCTTGTTATTGTTAACAACACGAACGTTTAATATGTGACAAAATGCATGAGACCAGACCTCCGTATAAAAAAAACATGCTGTGGTTGAATCACATAAACGTAACGAAAAGTGAATTTATCAGATATACAAATATTTACTCTTAACGAAATCAGGATATGATATCATCATAATTGTCAAAGAAGTCTAATCAATTCTCCTAAAACGTTGTCGCGAAACGTCCGGAAAACCGATTCGTGAAAAAAAGTTTAAAATTTTGTTTAAACATAAGAACATTTGCATTTGCGATATCAGATTTGCCATACAACAACTACAATAAAAAGAAATTTTACTGTTTACTTCGCTGGTTTCGTAGCAAGGTAAATAAAAATTTTGTAATACATAATCATTTTACAAAACATTTATTTACACGGTAGAGTGGAGTATTAAGTAGTTTTATACTTGAAAATTTCGCTCACTTAATAATTTGTTCTGCTCGCGAGAAATGTAATTAATACAATTTGTTTTTTAACGGTAAATGCTTCAATTAAATTTGCTTGTCTATTATGATATTTTCGAAAATGTTTACATAAAGTATAAAACTAATTCATTTTTTTAATAATAATAAAAATAAAAATAATAAACTACTTTTATTTCAGATAGTAGTATACAATATACATACATACAATACAGAAACTAATTAGTTGTGTTTTTCATAAGCAGAATATTTAAAACCCAATGCAAAGATTTTGGAGGGATATATATAAAATATGCCTGTGTGTTCGTAATAAACATGTGTCGGGTGTTAAAATATTTTTGGTCTTTTTACTTTTTTTGTATCTTATGTACTTATGTACCTGGATTAAATTACTAATGCATCGGGAATAATTTTTATTCAATTACAAAATAAGTTGCTTTCAAACATCTATTAAAGAACGAATTTTTTTTTTTTTGCTAAAATGATAACAAAATAATAAGTAAACCAACTGTGAGGTAAACTAAAATATCAGACGGAAAAAATGGTATATTATTCCTCTCCCTTGGTTCAAGATCGATTTTCTCGAAAATAATTAGTTAATTTTTTTAAGGACAAGTAGGTATTCATCATTTAACAAGTCTGAAAATACTTCAAACGTTTAAAAGAATGGAGAAACATTTTAAAAAAATAAATAACAACTAAGAGTTCAGATTTTCGGTTCAGATACGGTGTTGTCGAAACAATTGTCATGTCATAATATATAATTTCGTGAAAATCTGAACTTTTAGTTCTTATTTATTTTGTTAAATCAAAGTTTATTCAATCAAATACGGAAAGTTATCAATCGAATGCGAGAAAAATAAGACTTGGCTAATAGAACATTGAACTGAGGTGGCTTTTACTTGATGAAAATCCATTTATCAAAATAAATAAGAACTTAAAGTTGAGATTTTCAAGAGATTATATATTTTCACATGACAATTGTTTGGACAACACCGGACAATATTTACAAACTACCTGCTCCTATATATACCGAAAAATGACCATAAAACCTTAATAATATTGTGAGAATTTGAGTTCAATAAAGGAGAGGTATTTAAATCTAATTGATCGTTAAGCAATACATTTGAATGTCTCATTTTGTTAATCTCCATGGCTTCCAATAAATTTAATTTTTTACTTTTTGTGGCTGTATGCAAAATATAAAAATTGTCTTCAAAAATGTGTTTTTCTGTGTTTAAGTGCGTAGCATAATTAGAATCTAGACTATTGTTTTTAAACGCTCTTATATGTTCGTTAATGAGTTTCTTGAAGGATCTACCTGTTTGTCCAATATAAATTTTAGGACAAGATCCACATTTCAACCTGTAGACACCTGATTTTTGGGATTTTGGACATTTCTTTTTATTGTTTTTTAAATATTTTCCTATTGTGTTGTTAGTTCTGAAAGCTATTTTTAAACCACATTGTGACAAATGTTTTGAAACTTTTTCACTAGGTTCTCCTAATAATATGTGGACTTTCTCAGGCACTTGGGGGTGAGAACAAAGTCTTTCGAGGGCAGTAGGTTGCACACTTACCTTTATAACAAAAGTTCCTTTTTCTTGTTCTTCTTTCACGGACGGTTTGTAGTTATCACATTCCGTAAACATTGGTTTTCGATTGCTGTCGGTGGTTAGTTTTTGATTTTGCTGCCGCACGGGAAGACTAACGGGAAAGGAATCAATGGAATTGTCAAAATCCACTGAAATAAATGATAAGGTCGATTATTAAAAAAGCGGATATTATAATATTCATTGGAAAATTAGCAACTACCTGCTAAACGAATAGAAAGATTTTTTTGGTGACATGGGTTATTACTTTTTTTTTCTCAAATTATAAACAATGCAAATTATATTTAATAGCATCAATCGAGTAGCAAATTAGCGAGTCAAAGTGACAGGTTGCAAATAATAAAATGAGGGATTCGTCATAATAAATAAATATAATAATAAATATAATAAATAAATATAATAATAAATAAAGCCGTACCACCAACCATACTTAAAATTCGTTAAAACAATGGTGTCGCTATTCTAGTCACTTAGACCAACTATGTAACAATATGTCGCCAGTAAATACATCGGAATGTAAAGGCATAAAGGCTAATGCGCCGAGTTTCTTAAACACACATTATTTATCGACTCGTTAGTAAAAATAAACCGTTTAAAAGTTGCAGTGCACTACTATCTAGCCGATATCGATTACCACCATTAATCAATTCAATTACGCTGTGAAAAAATCTCGAGATTATCGATATAAAGCTTTTCAATCCCGTGAAGTCTAAGGTAAAAGGTGGTTTACCTTTATGTCTTTTGTTAAAATCTCCGAAGTAAAGAACGAATGAAACGTGACCTCATATACACCCATTTCGCTGCTTTGTATTTCCATCAGTTTAACCGTGACCGAAAGGAAAAAAGTCTCTTTTTTTAATTGTTCGTATAAATTTAAAATTGCTGCTTTCGCCTTGTTTGTTCACCCTAATCTTGAATAAACATAATTTTCGAGAAAAAAGAATCAATATGCATGCTGAGGTCAAGCCGGAAATCGCTTTCCTAATTGCGAAATAATATCGATAATACGCAATATTTTTTTTTTCATATATAATATTAGTGGAATTTTGTCATGCGATTAACTAATTAATGGAAATTAGCCTCATTTTCGAAATAATTTAAATTCGTTTATAAATGGTTTAGACAAAAAAAAAACAAGTAGCTCTAGATATCAAAAAACCATATCTACGTCAATTTTAAAACGAATGTCGTACGAGAATGAGAAGTATCTTTTTAACAGCAATCGTAAATATGTGTTACCAACTGGGCCCTTCCTAAATCGAAGGAGAAACAGCCGACCACGATGCATAATATGGCGGTAATACAAAATCCGTCCGTAGATTTATCGGTAAACGGTTGCATGCGGTGTTTGCGTTTTGTTCCCCTAGCAAGATTGGGTTAATCTAATTTTGCATATTCGTCTAAATATTTAAACTAGTAACCGGCTGCAATGGAACAAAGCAAACGACAAAAATGCATGGGCGGTCCTCCGTTGAACGTGTTTTATGAATCAGCAGCTTTCAATTTCCTAGAATCAGTATAACGATGCAATTCTTGGCATGCAGCAATTGCTTGCCGATCTCAAGTACAAGTATTAAGGGTTTCTTAAAAAAAAAATAAAAAAAGAAGTTACACAACTTGTTTATAATTATTTATAGATTTTTGTTTATTATCTTATACCGTGCGCCTTCATAATGCATTTCCGTCTTTGTATTTTCTTGGGGTGTTGCTATACCACTTTTGATGTATATTCACGTTAGTTTTAAGTATACCAGGAAAATACGGAGCCTTAAGCTTTGTTTTCCTTGTCATAATGTTGCGTCGAAAAAAAATAAGTTGTAAATTAATCGTGAAAAATAATATATAACAAGCAGGTAACTCCGCGGTTATTGTTGAGACCAAATAGGTCAATAATACTACTGCCGGTCCCAAGCCCGGATAAAGGAGGAGGGTTGGGCACAGGGCTGACAACCTGTCTGTCCTGTAAGTTGGTTGCACTGCTATGAGTTTGAAAGCGTCAAAAAATGTCGACACCACGTGATGGGTTTCATACCAATGTTATCAAGATAAAAAAAACACAGACTCAAGAAAAGATTTTTTGTCAATGTCGGCAATACTGAGTTTCTAAGTGATTTTCAACTTGCTCTTTAAGTATATTTAAAGACTTTTCGACTTAGTTTTCCACTAATTTCATCCAGTTGATCGTATGTATCTGAACTCAAAAAATGTATTATATTGATGAAAGTTCTTCTCTTATCCTACCAAACACTGCGTTACAAAATTTACTATTAGTGTCATGCCCCGTAAATTTACCAAAAATATACTAAAATCATACTAGAATCACATCTATAAAAGAATTTTGCAATGAAATAAAATGTTCTTATGTAATTTAATATTTTTAAGCACATTCAAAAAAACTTCTTCAGGTCAAGCAATTTCTGCATTTTCCACCTCCATTTTACTGATGTATATCAAGAGAGACTTGGCTAATAGAACATTGAACTGAGGTGGCTTTTACTTGATGAAAATCCATTTAACAAAATAAATAAGAACTAAAAGTTCAAATTTTTACGAAATTATATATTTTCACATGACAATTGTTCCGACCAAACCGTCTCTTTATCAAATCACATTTGATAAAGACACGGTGTTATCGAAACAATTGTTATGTGAAAATATATAATTTCGTGAAAATCTGAACTTTTAGTTCTTATTTATTTACTTTTTTTTTAATAGAACATTATATAGATCTAATTCGCTTTCAATATATTTTTAGCAAAAGTCCCTCAGAATATAATTATCTGTTTAGGTTAACTACAATGTCTATTGTTTTGCAAATAGATACCCTTCGACCGAGACCGCTACAAATGCACTGGAAAAATGGAATCGACATTGAAAGAAATGTCACGGAGGTCTATTTGACAGATTTTTTTAAATGAAAAATTTTCGAAAAGCCAAGTAAATTTCAGTCAATGTGAGTGAGTAAACACATTATTATTTACTTGGATTATGAAAATGGTAAGTTTTACTGTTTGAAGTTGCTAATAATAAGATTAAGTAACTAAAATCAAAATACATAATAAATAATACAAGTTTTATATCCGTATTATAAGAATGAAGAATGTAACAATATAATTAAAAAACTGCATTTGATCGAATATATGGAAATATTTGGACGTTGCATGCTGTTCGGTTGTTGTAGGACATCATATATTTCGTAACCACAGAATTCCTTGTTTATGAAAGATAAAGTATTCTATTTGGTCTAACGGCAAATAGATTATTATTGAGTTTTTTTTCTCGGTCCAGTCCAATTACGCGAACGCATAAATAAGATAAACTACATACCCCAGGCAGCAAACAAAATTTGCAAGCCAAATAACTAATGAACAGCGCTAGTAACAATAACCAAAAGCATCGGAAGTTGAACCAGCCCAGCAGAACGAGCAAGAAGGGTAAATATTTTGACGGTTCGTAACCATAAACAATACGTGGGACTGCAATTTAGACACAGGTTGGTGTGTAAAAGACCTGTTGCCTCCAGAATATATAATACTTGCGTTGTCTATACCCGATTTCAGCTAACAATTAACATTTTTACAAATAAAAGTAATGGCATAATTTAAGAAACGGGCTTAAAAAATGACGTAGCTGGGCTTAAAAAACCAAGCCACATATTATTGTTTATACCGATGCCTAGACTAGCTTTAAAGGTTAAACGAACGGAAATCGTGATTCACAAAATTCAGATAACTTAGTCATAGTTTGCGACATCGAAAAATCAAATGGGGACGGATTTGAGCTCAACATTTCGTACCTACGTCAGAGCGAAAAGTAATTAGCATTCTCTCAGCGAAAAAAATGTAATGTACAAAGAATGCTGCCTCGTACGGTAGGTAGATGTAACATGTACATAAGAATGGAATGGATTGTACGTTTATGCATATTTAATGGGGAATATTTTAATTCACAAACCGGGTACATCTAAATGCAAGGTGTCTGTGATCTGCAGTAAGTAACTTTCTATTTTAAAATCGCTGATAAAACGTTCCTTTTAATCAACACGGAAAAAATTCGGTCACTTCCCGAGCGAAAATTTATTTCACAATTTATATGCCTAGTATTTAATATACAACCGAATTGAGTATATAACCCGTAAAATTTCCCTTATATACTATCTAATCTGATTAGATAGAACGAAGCTGGCGCACATTTTCAGAATAAAATCCTAAACTACACATTTGATAAGAGTATGGTCGAAATCAATATTGACCCTCGAATTTATTCTCATTCTCGGAAATCCCCAAAGATCATCCCCCTTGCCAGCCCCGTAGGCAGATGACTCACGGATGAAGCTATTCAAGTAACAAAATCAATAAACTCATTAATTTTTGGGAATTGTGGCTATTTAAACATGATTGGAATTATTAAAAAAATGTTTTATCATGTCATAATTTTTCTGTCCCAAAACTGTACAGCTGGAATTATAAAAATCGCATAGAGGGGTAGGAAGTTTTATTTTTAATTTTAATTTTTATAATTAAAAACAACTCCCCCTAGATGGTTTTTACTTTTTGGACTTTTGTAAATATATAGTTTTTAATTATATATTTTCTAGACGGTTTCTTGTAATGGCACCGAACACAAAATAGATTTGGAAATATAATAGCAAAGGAAAAAACAACTATTTTAAATCAGATTAATTGAATATTATTTCAAACAATTAACGTGAGTCACGTATCAAATGGATTTTAAGAATGAGTTATTGAAATGGGTGTTTTTTTTTTGGACGATCTTTTGAGGTAAGAAAAATATGCAAATAAAAAGCAACCCAAAGGCATAATTGTCGCTTTAAAAAACGTCCGCAAAGCGTTCTTTGTCCCAAAAACGCCTTTCAGTGAGAAAAAATTAACTTACCTATCTAGATAGAAATAACAGTACCTACAATATCTTAGAATATTGTCAAACTTACCTCTATTACTAGTAGTTGTTAATTGTGCATTACTTATTCCACTTGAATATAACAGAATCGTACACCACATTATCTTCCAATGTACCATTTTGAAATTGCTTGAATTTTGTCCACAATGTCACAAAAAAATATAAATCACGGGAGACGAATGTTTACATCTTAAAACTGGTAATTTTCTGTCAAACTGCTTGCTAGGCTAATTTATTGTTTTCTAGCAATATTATCACATAATATTTCGTTCCCTATGTTCTCCTCGAGCAAGCGACGTTATCGACACTCCATTTAAAGAGAACGTGAAACTCGAGGTACCACAAATACCTAAGCACGAAAGGCACAAAGGACTTAGCTACCTCGTACTATGCACTGGCTTCGGTACCAACATAAGTCACAATTCCTTGATATTGTCACTACCCACTACTACGAAACAGAAATAAATGTAAACTAGAAAAGCCCGTAATTTTAATCGAAAGTTATTACAAATACTCAAGCAACGGAACTAGCAATCGAATGCGAAATATTTGGTCCCTACCAGCAATGAATAACCAACAAAATCCCTACAGAAATAAATCACCAACCCAACAATACGGAAAGGAGTGGCTGGTTTACGCACGCGCATAAGTCTGCTACAATGTAGTGCTAGCCATTTGGCGATTAAATAAGTGAGCAGCGATGATGAATGGATGAATCATTTTGAAGAAGGGAACTTTCTTGGACATCTTTCGGAATGGATCGTTGTGACTTGTAATATGAAGTATATGCATAAACAAGAATATTAAGGGGCTTCAGAACTGAAAGTTAAGATTTTAAATGACAATCCAACCGAAACAAAATGGAGTCCTCATTCAGAGAACTCAGAAAATATAATTATTGAGGTGACCAATATTTATGCTATTTCGGAAAATATTTTAAGGTGACCGTCATTTGGAAAATTTAAAAATATACGCACATTCCTATGCAACAGACAACACACGGAAATGCATGTAATCTCGAATATTATTTACAGAAGTAGAATATTTTATTAAAACTAATTTTATTAAGATGCGAACATTGCGAAAAGAATCTATTTTACAGTAAAACACTTACAAAGCATTTTTATTAAAATAAGTAGTTTCATTTTTAAATGTGTTAGTCCGTTAAGGCACGTGGTGTCATCTTAAATTCGACATTTTTTTCTGTAAATATTTTAATATTAATAATTATATAAGTAAAGTATCATTTAAGCTTCTGTTCGGTTAAACCACGTGGTGTCATCTTCTGACCAACAATTTGACGAAAAACATTTTAGGATCAGAAAAGTTGAGAATCTATATTACCGCAGAAAACTAACAAAAATTAATGGGAAAATAAGTGGCCTGCAACAATATTATTAGTATTTAAATAGTTAAAAGTCCTAGTTGTTCAAGTCATGTAGTGTCCTCTTGTGGCCGACATTTTAACTTGTTCTTAAAATATTACAGGAGTTTTTTTCGTGTTCTACTGCTTTCAATCACGTGGTGTCCTCTTCTGGCGGAAATTTTACCTTTTCGGGAAACTGTTTAAGAACATTTTAAGATGGCGGTGACGTAGAAATGTCCGGAAACTACATTATCGTCCAACAGAAACAAGATGGAGTTGACGACAGTCATCTTAGGTTCATAACACATCCATAGCCAAAATATTGGCCTATTTTTTGACGTATTTACAATAACAAACAGCAGCAACGTTTAGATGTTTTTAATATGTTCGGTTGTGATTGGTGAAATAGTGTTAGATCGCGAATTTGACTTGATCGCTAGTAAAGTTGTTGGACAGACTTCCCATTTAGTGTAATAATTAAAATAATATGTTATTAATAATAGCCCCTGTGCAAAGTAATTAACTCGTTTGTGTTTAGTTTTGTATTTCTCGTTTTTTTCCATTGTTTACCAATTCACGAATCACTAAATGAATCTCGCTGCTGTGCATTTGGACGTTGTATAGAAATTGAGATGGTTTTAAGGTACCTATTACGACAATACATTTATTCAAGCGGTTAACACATCAGATTTTAGGAAACACCATTTGCAAACTGCATTTTGTGCATTTCGAAAAGAAATTCAATAAGAAAGTGATGACCAGCCAAAATTCCTCCTTTACCCAGGTAGGTTATATATTTAAATAATATAAATTTGTTATCTATGGTACCTTGCCTATACGGTATTATAAAATGCATAATAGTAAATACCTTTAGTTACACACCAAGGAATAAAATGAATTGTACGTAGTTATTTGGAAAACTGGTGATAAAAAATAATATTTCAAATTTTGGTGATACATTTTGTATTCTATGTAATCATACTTCAAAATGAATTTGTCACAAATACAACACGTATTTACACACATACAACCTGTTGTCATACTTCTGAAAACTAATTTGATTCGTTCGAGTCAAGGTCTAAGCTATTAATTAAATAAAAATGTTCAGTTTCAAAGTCATATGCGTTTTTTTAATCAGAATAACATACTTTTAAGGATCTGCTTCATTTAAAGATGTTTATTTGACTTATCCAGATAAACACATTTAATACATTTTACGGCTGTTCCTTGGGTGCCAAAATTTTTATAGGAAACCAATTAGATTATTTTAAAATTTGTTCCAGAGGTACCAACCCTACATTTTTGATCAGTTCCGCCAACCGGATGGTCAATGGGAAACGAATACTACAAACCCTCCAACAGTGCCAGCAAGGGGTATAAAAAGAAGTACCCCTAGCGAAGTTACCCGTCCATATGAGGAATCTCCCTGGGTAAATGCATTGTTCTTACCTAATAGATTCGCTCTGTATATTACAAGTATAAACTAATTGTTGTTTATTTAATTTTTTAAATGTTTTCCTTCTTACTGTTTTGCTTTTTTTGCCGTATTATTTTATTATATACATTAAAAAATAGGTAGTAATATATATATATATATATATATATATATATATATATATATATATATATATATATATGCAGGATTCCAGTCGGAGTTCAACGAGCGAACGGATGATATCCCGGAATACAGTGTCATCACATTTTTCCATCCGTGAATCAATACGTGAGAATATATATATATATATATATATATATATATATATATATATATATGGTAATTAAGTACATTGGGAAACAGAAAGGGTCAAACTGTGGTCACTTTTTTTTTAATTTTGTTTGCTTAATTTTCAGTGGGCATTTGAAAACAATAAAAAATATAAAAAGTATTTAAATCTATTTGTTTCCATAGGCTAGGTAAAATTTTATTGACAAAACGAGTTAAACTTTTGGTTTAATCGTTTCGTTAATGAATGCTTTTTATTTTACCGGGAAGTTTATTTAGTTTAGAAAAAAGAGTTAAAATATTGCAGATGGCTCCTCAAGATCCGCCTCATCAAATGGATAATAATGTAGTAAACGAATGCAATTTGCTGCTAAGGTCTCAGAACAATATGAACGTAAGTTCCTCCGATGTTGGGGTATTAAAAAATCAAATTATTAGCACGGAGCATGATGTCAATGTGAACAGAGTTCAAAGTCCATTAAGGAGCAATTCGAAATATGTGAACACTCCGTGAGTTTTTTCCGACATTGTTAGTAGTTTTGACTCTAATTTAGCGTCTTAGGTGGTTCCACGGAAAGATATCTAGAGAAGAAGCAGAGACTTTGCTGCGACCAAGAACCGATGGGTTATTCTTAGTGAGAGAATCGACAAATTTTCCTGGCGATTACACCCTGTGTGTTTGTTATCAGACAAAAGTGGAGCATTACAGAGTGAAATCTCACGGAAATAAACTGACTATAGACGATGAAGAATTTTTCGACAACTTAGAAGAACTGATAGAACATTACAAAAATGATGCGGATGGCCTCTGCACAAAATTAGTCAACGCGCTTTCGAAAGAAAATGATACTACGAAGACTCTTATAAAAAGCAGTTCCAAAGAAAGCGACGATCTTTGCGTAATACCAGAACACGAACTAGTTGTGTGCGAACCGATCGGGAAAGGGGAATTTTGCGAGGTTATGCTTGGAAAATGGAAAAACAGCAAAGTCGCTGTAAAAGTTCTGAAGGATTCTAGCGAGGCGGAAGCTATACTGATGAAGTACGTTTTAGGACCCGACAAGCCCTAGAAATTTGCAGCCAACATAAAAAACCTTTTTTGCGTTTTATAAAGCTAGGAGTTTAAAGATTAATTATTTCTTCCTGAATTTCAAAATGCGGAGTTTGCCCAAAATATATCTTTGATAGGTTGATATTTTTAGAAATTATGCGATAGGCAAAAACCGAATCATTTAAAATTTTTATTAAATAAATGAATATCAAACTTAAATATTTGTTTGTTTGTTTTTTTGTTTCAAAGGGACTTTTCGGGTCTGCTGTTTTTCATTCATAATGTATTCATTTATTTCTTTCACAATTTAGGTAGTTAATTTCCTTGCTAAAATTTGATGCAACCGCGTTTATTGATTAAAATAAATTGAAAAGATTTTCCATGCCGGAAATTAACTTTTTTAGATCTTACATTGGCACATTTTGAAAGTGTGAAAATTTTATTTCCTTTCGTAGGTCTTTGCATCACGAAAACCTCGTGAATCTGTTAGGGATAGTGAGGAAAAAGGATCAAATATACTTAGTGACGGAATACATGAGCAAAGGGAGCCTAGTGGACTATTTAAGGTCGAGAGGTCGTTTACACGTATCCAAAAAGGATCAAATAAATTTCGCATTCGACACGTGTTCAGGTATGGAATATTTGGAGAAAATGCACGTTGTTCATAGAGATTTGGCGGCCAGAAATGTACTGATTGCCGAAAACGGGAGGGCTAAAGTCTCCGATTTTGGTCTCGCGAGGACGGAGAAAAATACCACTTCGGAATCGGCAAAGTTGCCTATTAAATGGACTGCCCCCGAAGCTCTCAAGCATAACGTAAGTTGAATTGTGCCTAGTTCGTAAAGAAGGTATTAACGGGTAAATGAGATTTTTAGAAATTTTCCAATAAATCGGACATGTGGAGTTTTGGTATATTGTTATGGGAGATATATTCTTTCGGAAGGGTTCCGTATCCACGAATACCGCTGGCCGATGTGGTAAAGCACGTGGAAAACGGTTACAAAATGGAAGCGCCAGAGGGTTGTCCTCCGGAAATATACCAGATCATGCGACAGGTGAGTTTTCGCGTTGATTTAATACGATAACTCGTTACTTAATGCCATTTGTAATCTAGGCTTGGGACTTTTATCCTGAAAAAAGGCCGACTTTCCACGAAGTCAAAATTAAGTTAGGTCAGCTTAAGCAGCAGACGTGAAATTTGGATTAGGTGTATGAATTTTTGACGGTGTGAATGGTGAATGTACTTTTTAGGTTGTGTGAGCAGCGTGATAAAATATAATAGTATATTAGATTGTGCATTAAAACCTCATAGATTTAAATATCTTTCAATAAGGCAGGTTTGAGCGAATCGTTTAAGAACGTTTAGGAATTATTGAAGGGAATGAATTTGTCCTTCTGACGGGGTTCGGTTATTCAGATGTATTTATTTGAAGAAATTGGAGGTATTCTTAAGCTTTACTAATTTTTAATAGGGTTTGATGATCAAAGCAGATTTGGAAGGACCATCTTCAGTGTAAATTGTTGACTTTGTAATATTTTATTTATTTTTATAGAGTATTTATATTGTTTGTTGAATTATTAATATTTATATTTATATAATGCGATTCCTAAACGTTCTCAATCGATGGTTTAAGTTGTGTTTACCACGGGGTCGCATTTTATGGTTTATTATTTTCACGAGCGCGAATCAATCATTATCCGACCTCATTATTAAAAAAAAAATAATTAGAAGAGGTTTTAACAAGAATATTATTCATCCCATTACCCTAATCGTTAATTAATACAATCATAGAAGAGTTAAATTCTTTCAATGGTTAATCTCATGTACGTGGTGTGGTTAATTTTTTTTAAAAAAATATATAACCGTACTCTTTTGTTTCTTTTTAAACAAAATTTTATTTATTTTCCAAATTTACTTTGGGTGTACTTAAAATTTAGGTGTCAACGGCGAAGACTTGATGCGAAGAAGTGTTGCTTTATCTTCTTTTTTTTTGTTTTTTTTTACTTTCTACATTTAACGTGTATATTTTTCTATTTGTATGTTTAAATTCTAACAGAATCCACAATAAATTTTTTTCGATACGGATCGTATTTATTTATTAAATTTTTGCTTTCTGTTTGGTTGCGGTAAATGGTAAATAACAATGGTTTCGAAAACTGCCTTGCTATCATTTGGGTTAGTAAACGTTATGTTTTTTGAACTTCGATTTAGATGCGGTTTTAAATCGTACAAATATGTATGATTTATTTTGTGGGAGTGGAAGTTACCAGGGCAATAACAAACAACGCGTTGAAGTTTAACAGCAGTTTATCAAATAAACACAAATTGACATTTTATATAGTATTTATAAAAAACATAAAAAGTCTGATATCTAACAAAATATTAAACGAGGAACTTCCCGAGAAGTTTACAAACCTTACCTCAAAATCGACTAACAAACATATAAAAGTGTATAAAATAATTATAAAAACAATTTAAATATTTTGTAAAATACGCTATTACAAAAAAAATAATACGATTAGAATAAAAATCTACTTTGGTGCTAGTCAAACAGCCATTGGTTGAAACAGGCAAAATGCCGAGATAACCAATAGACCAACAATAAGAATTTGAAACAATTGACTATCCCTACGATCGAGCCACCATGCCAAGTCAAGACACAGCCCGATATATTGCACTAAAAATATGGTAACTACGAATATTTGTTGAAATTTGCACCTTTTTTTCAACCCCCCACAAAACCTAGAGAAGTGTTTGATCATTATTTACTATATAAGCAATAATATATAATCTATTTTAATCTCTGGGATCAGTAACTACATAAAGATACTCGGTGACGACGGTAAATTGTGGAAAGTTTTCTTAGAAAACGGTACGAATTTCATTGGCGAAACAGGCTACTAATTGCAACGTTATTTTGAAGTTGTTGCAATTCTGGTCCTTTTCATTCAAAAATATTAACGAAAAAGCGTTATTTTTCTCATTAAAACAGTTATAAAAAGTGAAAAATATAAAACTTTAAAGATTTTCCAATAAATACGAAGCTTATACATATTAAAAATATGAAACGTACGCACGCGCACCGATCAGTGGAAATTATCTGACGGCACTATCCTAAATCTCGTAAAACGGATAGTTGATGATGGTCTACAGAATACCCATCACGTCTTCCTTCCTCATCTACTTCCATGCTTCAGCAAATATACAAACTGTAGAAAAAGGAGTGTAAATTGTTACAAATCATATCGATACATGTTCGTATCACGTTTAGATGGTTTCAATTCAAGCCGGTGTCTAATAAAATTTGTCAAAATAAAATTTGCTGGGCGCCCAACGAAAAGCGTTGCTCACTGCGTATTGAGATAAACGTTATTTTGACAAAATTCGTAAGCTATTTTGTTTAAAAACTACGTACACAAAATCTTGTTTCTTGTTAAACTACTCCGCCCTGACTAGTTGAGGGTGCAGTTTGGAATTGCGCCACTTGGTCTGCTATTTACATAATTACCTAGGAAACATTATATTTATGAATTATAGTAAAAGATAAAACTCTAAAAACGCCACCCGAGGCTGGATTTTTATTGCACACAAAACTTCTACTAATCACCATTTGTAACAGTTTAGTATAAAAATTCAAATTTAAAAAATACAAAGTCTTAGAATAGCTGATACTATTATATATACTATACATATCCGTGCAAAATTGATTTAATACATTAAAAAACGTTTAGATATCACACATGAAAATAAGGGTATTACAGGACAGCAGTTATTATGGCGGACACTAAGCGGAAGCTGACAACAAAGACACGTGGCCTTCAGTTCACTTTCGCGATACACAAAACCATATAAATCGCTAGAAAAATACACGCGTTTCAAACGACATTTAAATTTGCCAAAGGAAACATTTGTAAAGTATGTCAATAAATATGGAAGATATTACGATAACTCACACCTAAACAAGCACGGAGTTACACTACGACGTAAACTTAACTCCTGTCGCAAACAAAGGCATACCGAAACAAACATAAAAGTGCAATATTTAGGCTTTCTGGGCAAATGGTTGTACTATACAATTTTTTTTACTACGCAGACGAGCTATTTACCAATTAACCATTCAAAATCACTTCCGGCAAGCCATAAAACATCACCAAGACTTCGAGAGCCCAATTGAATGCGTCATTTAGATCTCATTAACTAATCTAAATTGTAACCATAACCACCCCGATATAGGTTTTTGAACATCGACTACTTGCATCGGGATACTTATTCGACTAATTTTAATTTAATTTAATAATTTTAAAGAAATAATATATCGATGTAGAAAAATAGAGGTTATTTTTAAATTCCCAACTCGCTTTGCAAAATAACCTAGGAAAAATTAATAGCGGAAAGAATATTTTGGCAAGCACCAGAGGTATTCGGTCATCCGATTGGGATAAATAGTCTTGGCAATAACAGCTAGGGTAGATTTTGTAGGACACGGTATCGACTGAAGACCATGTTGTCAAGAAATGTAAAAGGAGGCTTGGATAATTTGGCAGGGCAGCAGAAAATCTAACGCAAGTTTGCCGATCAGGTACTCGAGCTGGGCGGTACTAGATTGAAAGCGCAACGGTCTTCTGCACAGTATATCCGCTTTCATTAGACTAGTATATACAATACCCTGAAAAAAATTCTGACTATGCCGCGTTAGTTTCAGCGTCTATCGATTTGCGAGTGGACGCTTCTTAGATCGGTGTTCTTTTTTTAGAATATGGATACATCTAAATTCCGTCGCCTGTATACGATTATCGTTTTATAAAATCATTCCTGAGATACCCTGTATATTGCCTCCGAGGTCAGATAACCTCTGTACGTATATCGAGAGCATCGTATCGAAAGATTACCTCAGAAGCTGTATCTATGAGAACTTTTACGAATAGAGTGACACACGTATCGAAAAATAAGCACTTCGAATAATAGATTAAAAAAAAGGCACAATTGGTAGATTTGTGTGTTGTTCCAATTATGAATTGAAGAATCTGGTCGTGGGTTAATATCTTATGAGTAAATTCTACTACTACTATCCACTGCAAACGAAATTTGATTTGACCTTATACATACATACACCAAAAACATTCAATATCCTTCGACACTTAAATTAACTTAAAAATTTTAACCAAATAAAAAATAACGTTCTAACATTCTACTAGTTGCACCAACTTCCAATGTTTTTCGTCAGTTTTTTGAAGGCAACAGTTTTTAAGTATTAAATAAATCTAAATATCATAGACAAAAAAGCGCTCTTTTGTAAAAAATAACAATGTACCTAGATATTAAACCACTTTTAGTATTTCAATGTAACTTTCTAAAAAAATGTTTTTAAATTATTTAATTAATATAGCGTTCGCGAAGTTATAAGGTTATATATTTTTTTATAAAATTATTTTATAGTATATTTATTTTTATTTCTACTGATATTTAATTAAATTTATTAAGATTAGTTTTGCTACTTTTGCGTTTCCGACGCAGATGAAAAACCAACAAGGCAGAAATTTCAAAAAATTATCTTGAACGAATAAAACATTTGCAGGTTTGATTTCCATTTTGGTCGCGGCGGCCTTAAAGCGAAATTCAGAACGATATTCGCAAAAAAAGATATAAAAAAATAATAAATTGTAAGCAAATTACTTGCTACGATTGGAATTTAAAAATCGTGCAAATATTTCCACGCTACGATGCATTAAAGGGGGTGGTAGTATGCAAATGTCACATTTAAACGACTCGAAACGCAAGCTTTCCTATCTGCCATTTTGAAAATTGGAAAGACATTTTCTGTGCAACATTTTTGATTTTTCGTAAAGACACTTCTGATTTTCCGCCCTGAACCCTAATTTATAGGTTATAAATATAGGTTTTCTAGGTTACACGAAAAAGCTCCGGGCAATATTGAACAGGAAAGTTTGCATTATGAAGCAGGCTTAAGGTTACATTCATATATACGAGCGCCAAATTCCCAACTGATGGTATGGATTCTATGAAAATCAACAATGCTAACTAAAATATTTTTTCACTTTAACATATATAATCTCATCATACTAATTGGGGCTTTAAGGCCCGAGATGTAATCTAAGTGAGTTTTTAGATTTTGCTGTATATTATTCCTCTGAATTTGTTAATCCATTTGGTTTTTAAATTAAAAGTCTAGAGACCGTTTTTCAGATATGACATACGCATTTCTAAACTCCATGTTTTGGAGCTCGCGAACCACACCTTAACGAGAAAAAAAGAGCCATTTTCCGTTTTCCATTAGATGGAAACCGTTCGAGATGATGGGTCGCAAATCGCAATCCCAGTTTTATTACGTTTGTACGCTGAGTCCCGAAAGACGAACACTGGGAAAGTGGCTATTTTTATTTTGTTAATGTTCGCTGGTACGAGTGGGTACGTTTAGAATGAACTCCCCGTACAGTAGTGCCACTACTACTTATCAGGGGTGAACCGAATCGAATTTAGAACTACTTGGATACTAGAAAGGTCGCGTTTTGATCGGTCCGTTAAAAAAAGCGTCCAAACGACATTCGAGAACTAGAACAACGCCCCGGATTGCTGGTGCAGATGAAATCGTCTGACTACCGCCCGGCCCTATCATTACAGGAGATAAATTGGTTATACATGTATATTTTTTTTAAATATGTATAATTGCTACTAGATAATATTTATGCCTATGCAAATTTCCGGCAAGCCACCGCCGCCATCAGTGTATGGTAATAAGCTAGTGGGGCTGGCGTGGCACGCAACCGCTGTTTTAAAATATGCCCTTACGTTAACACCAGCGGAATGGCACAGCCCTTGGCCTATCTGCACCCTCCTTCACCAATGGTTTATGAAACTCCCGCCCCGGGCGAGAATGAATTGTTGCCCAACAGTGTTCGCAGTAGTACTGAAAAGTAGAAGAAACACCATAAATACCAATCGATTGATTATTATAAGTTATGACACATAATACCCTAAAAGATTTAAGCTGATAGATTTTAAGTTTGCAGTAGAGAAATAATACAGCGGTTATGATTGAAATGAGTAGGTTGAATTAGTTTCTTCAGAAAAAATTTGTTCGCTTCGTTTGTTACATTATCAGAGCGAACGTTTTTAGGCCCAAATTTTTTAAAAACTCTTTAGGAATTAAATTATAAAATCGTAGAACGGTTTTTTAATAATTTTATGTTAGTTAATGTAAGTCAATAGAAAGCACCTGCTTCATATTTGCTTACCAATATAACATTAATACGACAGAATTAAAGAAATTAAAGAAAAGTAAGGTCTACATTTGAGGACTCTGTATTGTATATAATAACGAATAGCTTTTTCCTTACCTGTAGACAAGTGACATTAGCACAAAAAAATGGCGCGAACTTTCCACCGCAACGTTGTCCTTGACATTCGTCACACATCTGATCATCCAACACGTAGGGTTTCACTTCTACCCTCTTATCGATATCTCCGTGTTGCAATTGCACAAACCTAGCACTAATGGCTGCTATATAACTTTGTTGATTACTAAATGCTACTCGTCCAGCTCCTTTCGGATATTTCAGCTCCGGATCAGTGTCTATGCCAGCATAGCACACGCCTCCGTAGAGCCTGTCCATAATCATCGCTAATTCAACTGAAAATACAGAGTCAGATGATACATAAGGCGGTGGTGGGTGGACGGAAGTGTGAGTAACTTACCAGCCTTAAGGGGTCGCGGGACACCACCAACGAAAACGGTTTTCCTGGGGTCCAATGGCATCGAGGCGTCCAAAACGAAATCCGCATCGGATAATCGCCAAGGTCTTATTTGTACCGGTTTATCTTTAATTGTTGGTGATGATACGCATAGATATAATTTATCCTCGTCAGTTATACAAGCATCAATCAGACTCTGAACGGAATTTTCGTCCTGCAAAATGGCCAAAATTATATTATTTAAAGCGGCGAAGGAAATGAGAATCGTTGCCTGACCTGAAACAAAAGAAAAGCGTATCCTTTAGGAGGGAAATACGATTTGCTTTCGGCTTTATGTGGCCAATCGACGACGAGAGGTCCGAATCTTCTAAAGCTGACCGTGATTTCGTCTTCGTCTATATCGGGAGGTAGACCGCCGACGAAAACTTTCCTCGAAAACCTCTCACCTCCTTCCGATCCTTGAGAGTGCGGTGAAGATCGCGAAGGTGAACTTAACGGTTGAGTGCCTAAAGTTCCATCAACTAAATGGGTCGGTTCTTCTAACAATACAGGTCCAGCCTGATCGTCTAGTCCCGGAAAATACGATGATTTGCCTACCATCGAAAAGAACAATTTTTGAACATGTCTCTAGTCGCTTTTGCGCGTTCGTTTAAACTAAATTGGGTCACGATTTAAAATTCAAATTTCGCTTTGTGGTATAAGCTTCAAAAAATCCATATCGACATACGCGCCAGTTTGTATCGGAACGTATGAATTGAATAATTTAAGAAGTTTGCCGTTTAACGGTTTCATTTAAACCGGCCGTAAATCCAATTTCATTACTACATCAAAGTCAAAATTTTGAAATTGCGCTACAATTATGTATTTCAACGTGTTTAAGATGCCACAGCTAAGTTTATATAAATTTATTTTATTTGAAGTATAATAAACGGGCATATCCTGCGTATAAGTATAGTAAATCGTGAATTAATTGAAATTACGTTAATATTACTATAAATTTTAAGCATTCGTCTTTGTTATATATATAACTGTGTAATGACGATCGCGAGATGCCGTTTTATAGAAACCCTTTTCGATTAATTTTATATTAAGATAAAACAAAGCATTTATTGAGAGATAAAAGTACTATCACAAAAAATGTATTATTATAAAAACTCTTTTTAATTAATTTAGTAATATGGTAAAACTAAACATTTCTTGAGAGATTATGTGTTTTAAAGGAACTATTTTGTCGATTTTAAAAGTACTGTCACAATAAACTGATACACCCTATATAAAGCGTTGATAGCAAGACACCGTTTTATAGAAACCCTTTTTAATTAATTTAGTATTAGGATAAAACTAAGCAATTTTTTGCGGGTCTATACATATGAACTACTATGAATAAATTGATACACCCTGTATACTAGTGCATAATCGTGTCGATACCAAGACGCCGCTGGGTTAATTAAGTTAACTAATTTTTAGGGTTCATTAACGGCGATATTCAGTAAAAACTGCGTTAAAAACAATTTTTGAAAAAGCGGCAGCACTCCGTGTAACGAGAAATTAGATTCACAAATTTTAATCTTTTTAAAAGTGTCTCAAGTATTGGATTATCGGAATGCCCTATTTTAAGAGCGACTAGAGTAAATAACTCCAGCGAGCAATAAAAACTAATTGATGAATATAAAGTTTCCGAAAGTCGATTGGGGGACGAATCATGCGCCGTTTGGGCGAATATCTACCCCAATTTTGGGAGCAGGGCACGTGGGCAAAGTGCATCGACCTTACATCACATGACAAGATATTTTCCCTAGGCGGTTAGAAAAATCGAGTTTTTAAAAAACCTGTTACTACTAAAAATCCATCTCGCGGATCATTAATTATATCTACTGCACTCACCGTGTAACTGCAAAGATTGGAAAGCGTTTGTATTAATGAATCCTGAAACAAATGAAAAAAGATTATTTATCAAATAATAATAAGTTTAAAGGTCAACAAAAATGGATAAATTTAAAGCTACAATTTTATTAATGTTGTTTGAAGGGGACTAAATGAACTATACAATAGTGAGCTGCATAACAAACGACTACGAAAGTATAAAAATGTTATCATTTAAAAAATAGCTTTATCTGCGTTTAAAAAGTTGCTTTATCTGCAATGGCTGGTTGAAAAAATGCGATTCGGTAGAATTGTATCCAATTTAATAAAAAAGAAACATTTCTTTAACTTACCCCGTTCAGTATAAACCTTAACTAATAATAATAATGTAAATGAATACATTTACATTATCAGTATTGAAAAACGTCAATGTCAGACAAGTATTTGAAATCTACTGAAATTTAATGAAGCTGACGTTTTAAAATGACACTTTGCATACGCCTGATCTGCCTCAATGGCCTTTTAAAGTAGAGAGTACGAAAAGTTAATTTACATCTTATCTTTAGGCTGCAAAATCGAATTCAAACTATAATCAAACCATTTTAATAATGGTTTAAATTCAGAAATATCCAAAACTGTGTGAATCGTTACTAAAATGTTTTATCGTATTTACATAAAGCATATCTGGGGGCATACAGTGAGATCTACGATACGGATACGATAAGAAAAATTAATAAAATACTACACCTTGTAGCTGGAATAAGGTTGAGCTTTACAGGTGTTCCGACTATAAAAAGCACGAAAAATGCATTAATCTCGACGTGAACTGAATAGAACAAGTCGTTCACGGTTCGATAAAAATTCTCAACGCCGCTAAAAATACGGAAACCTGAGTGAGGCTCTTCGCCTCTTTTCATAACATTTCAAATAAAACTTGCAGATTCGTTTATTTTCCCTCAAAGGAATTTTTCACGTTTCCCCTCGAAACACAACGGCGTATTAAAATCTAAAACGCGTAATTTAAAAACAATGATAGCAATAGTATACGAATTCGGCTATTAAGACATGATTTTCCTTGACACACATGCTTCATTATAAACATCGCATATTGCCTATGGGCACACAACGACGCATGTAAAAAATATGCGGAATTATCATCAATTGATTCGTCCGTTTGAATAAATATAAATGGCGTCAAAATGCTTGTTAAAGAGGCGAGAATAAGGCTAAAAGTTCTTTTGCAACCCTTGCAAATATCGATCAACATTAAAAGGATCTACGCATGTCAGTCTGCCTACTGCATGTTACATGTTAATTTTTAGAAGCGCGAAAGAAGCCTGGTTAGTGATAGAGCAGGCGATTCTACCATGAAGAAGTTCTATTGGAATTATGATGTAGTCAGAAATAAAATAATTATGAGAATCAGGCAGGGTTGCAGTTGCAGGATTACTCATTACTCAATTACAGGGCATTCTTCTACAGTAAGTAACACAGAAGCACAGAAATAAGTTTATAAATTTAACAAAAGCCGACGAAACGTCACAAGAAATTCTATTATTAATTATTTAGTAATTTTAAAGTAAAAATAAAGTACGGGAATAAAAAAACCTAATGAAATACAGAGTGGGAAAACTATTTAGTGAGTAAAAACGATTTAAAGAATATGGAGGAATTAAAACTGCTTATAGGATAAAAATTTCTGAGTTTGATCCGATCTTTCAAGCAGTCATAAAATGCCGCCCCAACGAGGGAAATATTGCAAGTGGATCTTTTTTGAGCTAGGGACGTGATAAAGTACAATTCACTTGCGGGATCAATACAGCTTCGTACTAGAAACCACTTATACCGAATAGGCGAATAAGGCATTTTCAGAGTTCAGCTTCACCTGTTCAAACCAATAAATTTTAAATCGAATCGGTCACACGTGCTTTTCTATATAACCCGATTATAGTAATCCGTTTTATGTTAATGATATTTAACATTCTAAACGCATGTGTTTTTTAAAACGCAGGGGGGTGAAACATGTGACACCCATATTTACAGATGTACGGGCCAAAGAATGTCATCGGCCAAAGGCCTGCTTCGATGAAATATGTTATCTTATCGTACGAACATTTTCGATGGAATGACTCAAAAGTTCTGTTTATCATCAAATACGTCACATATCTCATGCGCATATTTGTCATTTAATTAGATCTGTTTTTATGATACCAACTAGTATAACTATAGCGTAAATGTACAAGGTCGCATTATTAATGTAATGTGAGAATTGGAATCCGCTTAGATTATGTTCTTCGTATGCTATTTATTTAGGAGTGTTAATTTATTTAGCATATAATGTGAATTATGTACGTATGCATATACGTTTGGCCGGTCATGGACAATCCCGATTGTAGTAGCTACCTGGGTATTAACCAAAACGAGTGATTCCAGCACAGTAGCAAATAGTACATAATGGAATTGCGTAATTTCGCGCGAAAGTATAACGAATTTGATAGTAAATGCGACGTAAAAGTTTTTTCCCATCGCCTACATGGAGGGGTGCTTTAATTGTAATTATTCAACGAGTAACCGAGACCAATGCAATTTTTTTGTCCGTACCTCCAAAAAAAAAGACGCTTAAATAATTCCAAGTTTGTCCCGACCATCCTAATGTACCAGATACCGATAAACATTACTAATTTCATTCATCGTTAGGAAATATAAGAAATAACCAATGTTATGTAAACACCTAATAAAGAAACTAAAAAGTAAAATCATTAACACGTCCTGCTGGAAAAACTAAAACGTAATTAAATGGAATCGTTCAATAGTTCTGAAAAAAAGAACGGGTACGGGAAAATGAATTCCGACAACCAAAGGAATTTCCATCGTAAATCGTATTGGCAATACTAGGAAGTATACAGTTTAACACACAAACAAAAATAGTATGTCGACGTTTAGCAACTGATACGAATATATTTCCACCTCCAGAAAAAGTACATAACATAAATGCGATTGGCTGCTTATCTTACCGCAGACTTAAAGACACCGACGGTGATATAAAACCGAACATTCCCATGGGCATGAAAATAGTATTGTTTCCCAGATTACTTGTTTATATTTGTTTCCAAATGGAAAACAAAGGTTTTGTTTTGATTTCATTGTTTATTTTGTTTGGTAACCGTATATATTTGCTGCCCTAAAAACTATTGAACCGTTATCTCTCTATAAACAGACAACTAAATGAATTTGTTACCAAATGGTACAATGTGTACCGAGAATTGCCTCGAAAGATAAAAATGTTCGCATCTTGGGCTGTTTAAGCAAAGAATAAAAGACATGTTATCGATAAAATCAAACAGTCTGAAAACGAAAACCGAAGCTAAATGCTACGCCTAAACAACATCACAATATCTTATTTAAATATTTTTTTAAATACTATCAAAAACGATTTTCCAAACAAAATGAATTTTTTGGGCTAGTTTTTTAACTTTAAGCTGCCCTAAACGTTTTTTTATTCCCTTTGAGAAAGGCAAAAGGCCACAAATAACAGACTAAATTGAGTCAGAGGATTATACGTGTATAAGACTTGCAAAGTCGGGCCCTGAATCGCATTTTCTATAATTCGCAAAAAAACGGCGTAGGACCTTTTTGGAGTTTTTATCGAGCCAGCAGGGTCCAGATCAGCCTAAAAAGCGGAACCGGCCATTGCCCCGCCATTGTGCGGAAACGCTACTGTAATACCGGAAGAAGTTACTTTATAACAATTATTGTCTTCATGTTCCGTCTTACTATGCATTATTAATATATAGCATCGTCTAAAGTCGTTTCTGGGGTGTTAATTTAAACACTTAGGAGCTAGATAGGTTTTTAATAACGATTTATGACTTCTGCATTCTTAAAAGAAGACAAGTTTTCTGATTCGGCGATTTTCACGTCGCTCCAAAACGGATATTTTAGGATTTATCGGACAAAGCATAATAATATCAATTTAATCCCTATTATTTGCAGCAGATTTGCCAAATCAAATGCCGTTCTGATTCAATAATTTGTAGGTGATTGAGGTAAATTGTTAATTCTGTACGGCATTAAATCCATGAAGTAGCATTTGCACATTTGCCAAACGGAAATTTAAATTAAACCAAACTAATAAAATAGAAATAGTAGCAAATTGTTTTCTGCTTTTACCTTATATTAATGAAGTTCCTAAAATATCCTGGGACTGGCATTCATGAAGTAAAATAAGGATTGTGGTGATTTTATTTCCATCTATCGCGTGGCACGATGGCGTATGAGTAACACAAGCTTAAACAAATTGGTTCCATGCACAAGGGTAGCGGATAGAGCTGGTTCATGATCCCGATGAATCCCAGATCTACTTCAAGGACGCAACCCTGCCTACGCAAGCCTCGATTTTTCTCCCGTCCCCTTTGGAGGAAAATCGTGTCCCAACCCCTGATCATTTCCATAACCTTATAATATCCTTCCTAGATCATTCTGCCGGAAAATGGACGACAGAAAAGCATATGAAACTAGATAATAAATGTCCATCGCGAAAATTGACGTTTTTACGGAACAGAGAAGTGAAGTTACCGGATACCATCAGAACGATAATGGATGTTATAGATCTCTCCATTAGCACGGAAAGCAGGGCAAAAATCGTATCAATACAATATGGAACTGAGAAAAACAGCACTGATTAGAAAAGATCATTAATGGTTTCAGTAGGTCAAGACCAGCAGGAATAATTAATTGACCGATTGGCCAGGCAAGAGAAATGCATCTGAACAAACATACCCCCATCAAGCGAAGCCATAACGTGTAAACATTGATATTAAGTAACCGTGAGTATATAATTGAATATAAGTAATTAATTAATAAAATATGAAAAAATGGCGGTCGTTTAACAAGATGTTCCTGCGCTTTTATCTCGTGGGAAAACAAAATCTGTAGAAACAATAATTACTTAATTATTACGATAAATTCGAAACGCCAAAACATATTTTGCGTCTCGGCATTTAAAATTAGTCGCGGGCTAGAGAAAGTTGTTATAAAAAAAATATCTGCTTGTAAATTTGCAA